TATGGTTTGTTATATAAAAACAAGTGTATCCATCATAAGAGCTTCCTGCTTTATTGCATAGTACAGCAAAACGCTAGAGAAATCTTCCGGTATGAAATGTACTGAATAAGTAAGCTGGGGCATGTACAAAAAAGCATTGAATATCATCCCGAATATATTGTCTTGTTGAGTACTACTTGACTATTTTCCTATAGTATTACAGACCCTGAGAATGCTTTAATCATATCTTAGAAGGAACAAAGAGCATTTCTAAATTCAATCAAAGATTTTGCTCCACAAATTAGGGGAGTTCTTATTAATTTAACGAAAGTATCAATGTATTGATAATTAGGGCCACAGTTTGCATTACAAACTGACGAGGGAGGAAGTTGATGTAAGGGACATTGCATTCGAGAAAAAAGCCATTGGAAAAAGACTACTCATGACAAGGGGTCAATTCAGTACTCAAATGCTTTTGGATGCCATAAATGAAAATATTTGAAAAATTAGAGGTAAAATAATGATGGGTGAACCTGGGATAGGACCTGAAGACATTGGATCTTTAGCACAGTATTGAACTTAGCTGCAAAACGAATCTTGGACTTAGATTTGTTTACCATGTTGACAATTTTCGCAACCTATTTTGTTCCTGTGCATAGCCACCTTGCTTCAAATGGCACTATGCTTATCCCTTTATGAATATAGTAGCAGACAATTGTTGGCTGAAAGGTGTAGGCCCTGTATCTCACATCTATAATGACGAAGTTTTATTAGACTATGGACTATGGAATATTCTTAGGAAAGCTCTCGCACTCTTACTAGCATGGAGCATGTATTTTAGGAATAAACTCTACATACACTTCTCATGAAGATTTCAAGAGAAATCTACTTTGACGTGCTACATTTAGGATACCATCATGAACTCATATGTGGATGTATGGAGTCAAATTGTGAGAAACAAAAGGGTGCGCGATGCCCTGCTTAAATATGCTATCGCTAAATATTACTCGGAATTCCAAGGTCATATAGAGGAATATTAATAAGTCTTCAAGGCATAATTTACATAAATGATCACTATCTAAAAGGACCAAGTCTGCTCCGGGACATTAACTTTAGGGAAAGTTCTTTTGCTCATATACCACCCAAGTCTTATTATTAATTCGGTTTCAGTTAACCTTAAGAAAGTAAGGTTTTGGATTTGGACAATTTTTCATCAATAAACATCTACCACAAGGAAAAAGGTTCAAACTTTAGGTTGGTAGCAATACCTCTATTATGGCATTGCTTCCACAGTAAAAGAGATATATCAGATGAAATTGTATCTCGAGCTATTTTATTGGATAATAAATCAAATTATGCAGCTATTGTGCAAATACGGATTTTGATCCGTGTAGCTTTATGCTTATCTGATTTGCGTTCCAGTTCTATTCAATATTTTGTTCCTGTATAAAATAAATTTATCACTGTGGCTTTAAATGGTTGTTAAAAAACTTACAGTAAGCAAATAATGGCCGAAGATTATTTAAATAGCCTGGTGTCGTGAAATATGAAGTCCACAATCCAACAAAATTAAGATGGGATTAGGCTACATAGGTGGGATTTTACCTCACGTAAGAACAGTTTATGAGACAGAAGCGGAGATCAGTTCAGCTTTAGTCAAAAAGAGCGAAGACGACGAAGACGAGAATTTCGTGTATAAGGATGAAGCGAAAAGTAAGTTTTGGGATTTCTTTGATGAATTTGAATACAGAAAAAACAAGCCAGCAAAGTTCAAATACTTACTTACGAAGTCGAGGTCAGTGTTAGAACGAAAGCTATTGTTGAAGCTTGATATCATGATAACATTTTATGGTTTCTTGGGGTACTGGGTAAAGTTTTTGGATTCTGCAAACTTGAACAATGCCTATGTTTCAGGTATGAAGGAAGATCTTGGAATGGTGCTGAATGATTTGGTGGATACCCAAAACATGTACTACATTGGGGCAATCATCTTTACATTACCATTCGCGTATATTTTGCCTAGATATCCAGCACCCTATGTTCTCATGACAGGAGAGTTTGTGTGGTCTCTCTTCACGTTGGTCACTTATGCGGTGCCTAATTTAAAAGCTTTGAAAGCGTTTAGGTTTTTCGTTGGAGCTGCAGAAACGACGTATTTTCCAATCATCCATTATGCATTTGCTAGCTGATAAGTATCCATTTGCTGGAATAATTCATTAACTGATACTAACTTTTTATTAGGTTCAAACCTCATGAGATCACTAAAAGAGCAGGGTTTTTTTACGTGGGACAGTACTTGGGGACACTTACGTCCGGTTTAGTTCAAGGCTCAGTATATGATCTGCTTAATGGTGTTAACGGATTATCTGGTTGGAGATGGGCTTTCATAATAGACAGTTTGATATCTTTTACTGTATGTTTTATTGGTTTTTTTGCCATACCTGGCACTCCTTTCAAATGTTACTCCCTCTTCTTAACAGATGATGAGATAAAGCTAGCGCGTAGAAGAATGAGAGAAAATGGAACTCATGACGGATTGGTTTTGACGAATTTTTTTGACAAGGAAACGTGGAAGAAGATATTTACTTCTTGGCCTTTCTATATATTTACTCTTGGAAATGTTGGTGGGTTCAATGCATCAAATTCTCAATCTGGGTCTTTTGCATTATGGCTACAATCTTTGAATAGGTATTCTATACCAAAACTTAATCAACTAACAGCTATTCCACCTGCATTGGGTATTATATGGCTTATAATAACAACTACAGGTGCTGATTTGACAAGGAAACGATTCCTAATGATTGTATTTGCTCAGTTAATGAATTTTATAGCAAATATTATCCTAGCCGTGTGGGATGTATCAGAGAAAGCCAAATGGTTTGCTTTCTACTTCAGTTATTGGGCTTGGTCACAAAGTTCCGTATTTTATCCTTTACAAAATGATGTGCTTAGACACGATACTAATAGGCGTTCTATTGAATGGGTATTAACTTATACAATAGGATTACAATCTACTCCCTGGATATCTAAAATTGTTTGGCAAACGGTTGATGCTCCGAGATATCCAAAAGGTTTCTTAACTGCAGCTTTAATGGGACTTGCGCAAGCTATTGTAATGATAATTTGTTATTTTTTCTATAAGAGAGATGAAAGAAGGTTTGCCAAATTGAACGGAGTAATCTTGTACAATTCATTGGAAAACGAATCATCTCACCTAGAAAACAATTCCGAGGGGGAAACTTCTCGAGAGAAAGCAGGAAATGTAATTGAAGTTATAGATGATTATGGTTCCAATAAGGGAATGGAAAGTTTGTCAGACTAGAAAATGGGATTTAAGCAGTTATTGTGAAGCTTTCGAAAGAAATAAATATTACAGCGTGTTAATTGTAAGTTTTTTCACTATTTATTTTCTCTCCACCTTCGTTAAGCTCTGAAATTACACTTAATTCTAAAATAAATGAGATCATTCGTTAATTTAATTTTATATAGTAATATCAGCGATAACTACACAAAGAAAGCTTATCGTGTATTAATAAGAATTTTGATTGACTAAGCCTTCTCGAGTTGTTTTTGGACGTAGTTCAACGTATCAGGGTACCATTTAGCCCCGACTTTAGGATGCGATTTTATCCTATTCAAAAATATAGAATATCCCAATGGCTTTGCATTTGCCTGAGGAAACTGAAAGCTAATATCTTCTTTCGTACGACGAGAGTCACGAATATCTGCTTCTTTCTGAATCTCTTCTGGTATTTCGATTTTTGATTTGTAACTCGACACATCAACCGTTTGGAAAAAAGCAATTGACAATCTGTCTCCTTCACCTGGAATAGGAGTCAATACCCTATGTACTGTCGCAACGCAAACCCCATTAGTTATGTATTCTAGAGTCTGACCTACATTGACGACGAAAGTATCCTTTATTGGAGGAACATTGACCCATTCACCTTCGAATGTCTGAACCTGAAGAGAAGTATGATTCGTAGCTTGGTAAATGATAGTTAAAAAATCGTTGTCTCGGTGCTCCCCCACTCCCTGTTTTAAGTCTATTAAAGATTGCAGTAAATGGCTTCGAATACCTTCTAAATCATTTTTCAGTTTCAAGAAGTCAGGGTATCTAATGATCTTCATTTTGCACTGCTGTTTCTCTTTGAAATATTTATCAAAAACTGCTTTCGGAAGATTCAACGATTCTTTTATCAAGTCAATCAAGAGCTTACTTAGAGTTTCCATTTCGCTCATGTAGTCTTCTATGGTGGACCGAAAGTTTGGTACCGATTGCTTATCAGGCCACAAATTTGGACCTTCGATGTTCTTCCATAGTTCATCATCTGAATTTATGACTGGTTCTGGAAGCTCAGTACCGAATTCAACCTGTTCTCTCCAATCAATATGTTTTGCTGTTAA